AGGACCTTTGGGTTTTCCTGTTTGATGAAGCACAATGCCTTAACTTGCTGGCAGTGGTTCATTTTAAGGTGTGTTTTTGTTCTGTCTTCTCAGGTTGCTCCACCACTCCCCAGCAGACGTGAAGCCAAACCTCCCCCTCCACCCCCCAAAACCAGGAAATCCAGCGTTGTCTCTTCAGAGCAAGCCTTGTAGTGAGGATCAGCACTCGCTGGCGCAGCAGCAAGCACCCAGAGTGAAATGCCTGCTTTCTTTTTACTGACAGTGCTGGGGCTGTCTGCCCTGAACCCACCACTGATCTCGCCCGCCATTCCATTCACTCCCTTTGGGAAATACCAAAAGGAACTGATACTGTGACTGTATGCCCTAATCGCTGGTTTGCCTTTCCAGTCCTGACACACTAATCACATCGCAGGAGAGGTCACCCTGCCCTGCTGGAATTCTCCTCTTAGTCTTGTCTGTCGCGAGTCCCTGACGCAATGTCAGCAGCTCACTCCTAGTGTAGATGTGTCACAGTAGTGATTTGCACCAGTGTTTGGAACAAGGTAAGCCACGCCAGTGTGTGCCCTGCAGTGTTTTCACATAAGTTCATTACACTTTACAGCTGCACTTCCCTCCTCCTGTCCCTGTGGCATAGCCCAACCCTGATCCGCATGAAGTGAAACAGATCACAGCCAGCCCTGAGTTGTGAAATGTCAGCTCCTGGGATGTCAGGTGCTGGTGTGTGATGTGCAGTCTCTGAAGGTTCTTGATTGCAGGCAGAGACCTGAGCATTGTTAGCAGAATAAGGTCTTTTTTTTCTGCTAGTCATCGTATGTATTGAAGATGAAGTGCAGACATTCTGCCTTCACCTTAAATACATACATCTACCATCTCTGCTCTGAGTACTGGCAGTTGCTCATTCCCAATGGAGAGTTTAGGTTCACCAGTACTTTGTCATAATCTCCTTGTTGATTCTGGTTTTAACACTACAGAGCAGTTGATACTCCACCCTGAGCTGTGTTACCTCCCTGGTTTGTGCTTGCATCTGGGACTTGGTAGAATGTTTCATCTTGTGCTTTTTAATAGGGTGCAAAAGGGTTCCTCACACCAGTGAATATGTGACAAGAATAGAAGCTGCACTGAGACCAGCACTGTACTGGTACCAGCACCTGAGAGGATGGAGTGCGCAGCTCTAACTGTACATCCTGACCTCAGAACCAAAGTCTGAAAGTTACTGTAACCTTCACTTTGGCTGGGTAAATTCACAAAACCATAGCTAATTCTCATCCTGTTTTTTTCCTTGCACCCATTTGTGGCAGTTCTTGCACTCTGTTTTCCAGCCTCCCTTGATCTGGGTTTTTAACAGCCACTGGACTTTTAACGAAGCTGTTTAGATCTGGGATGCATTTGGAAGACTTAACTATTCACCGCTTAGTTTCCTGTTGCTTCCTCTAGCTCTCTGCAGCTTTTATTTCCTTGGAGGATGAGTTAATGTGTTTAATTTCTTTTTTACTTATTTGTTTCCTGTTCTGTCTGAATATCAGCATCAGTCTTTGTATAGAGAAGAAAAGGCACCAGACGGGCCTTAGACACAGCATTGCTCTGGGCCTGAGCACACACTGGACTCTGGCTGGTACAAACCAGGACATCCCCATTTGTGATCAATACTCCTCATTTCGCACCTTTCAGGGCTACTTCCTCTGTGCTGCAGCCCTGAGGTGGGAAGCCAGAAGACAATTCAGTTTCAAACTCTCTTGCAGTGCAGTTCTTCTCTGTTCAGGGAGAAGCAAAACCAAAGCAACCCCGGGGTGGTTTTTGTTCGGCCCTTTCTTTTGTTCTTACACATTCCTTTGGCTTCAGTGTGGTTCCTGTTAAAGAAACCTGCAGAAGCTGCATTTGCTTTGGTGCCTGCATGGCCCTGTGGAACAGGTTGCTCTCATGGAAGGATCCTATCGGATTCACGTCACAGAACAGGTTGGAGCCATTTGGAAGTTGCAGTCGCATCACGCACCTCTGCAGCCCTGTTGTTGCTTAGCACACATACAACTGCCTTCTGCATTGTTGCCTTCTCAGGGAACATCTTGGAGACCTTCCTGGACAACTTGACCGTGGTTCCCCCCTTTCTCTGGTGCATTGTAGGACTTGTCAGCTCCACATTATGGTCTTGGACGTAGGTTCTGCTTGACTTGAAAACCACAGGGTTTTCTTGTCTTTCATTTTTTGCCCACTTCCTCCTCTTGTAACCACTGTGTTCCTTCTGCTGCACACATGAACTGAAGGTTCAGGTCCTCTGAAACTCTTCACTTGAACAAGAACTTCTTGTCTTTTGCTTGAGGCAGAACATCAGGATGTGGTCTGAATTGTAGCAAAGTGGGTATTAACTCCACCTCTTGTTAATTCAGTGCCTTCCCCCATTCTGCATCTGCCTGTTACCTCAGCCTTGGGTGCACTTCTCTTTCAGAGCAGATTGGCTTTTAACTCCTGTGGGAAGCCAGCAGAAACAAAGGACTCTGTGTAGGAGTCTCAGCTAAGGGTTTGTCTGTTGTGGGGAAACAAACTGTCACCTGTGGGGATTCTGGTTCCAAGTGACTTTTGAGTCTTATTTCCCTACTTTTCTGATGTGCTTTAATCACTTTAACTCATACTTTGGGTTCTTTCTCTGGAGGAGGGAACTAGTCCATGCAAAAAAACCCCACTGGAGGAAGTCTGACCTTGGGAGGAGCTGTTCAGCCGATCTTCAGTGACCCTTTCCTAGTGCTCTTTGGTTCTCACTGTTTCGGGTGTTCCTTTGCAGTTTTGTAGATGAGGTTTATGAACGGCCTTTCATTTGTGTTTTGGTCTTTGGCTTTTACTGTAGAGCCACTCCTTAAGAAGCAGGGAAGGTGTTACCTTCCTGCGTGCTCTGCTTGCAGCCCACTGCCTCACCTGGCAGGTTCCTTAAGCTCAGTCTTGGTGTGCTGTCCATGCAGGTCAGGCGTTTCTCCTGCTGCCTTTGTTGTCTGGCCAGTTGGAGACTGTTGTAGCTGAGGCATCACCTTAACTGGAAGGAAAGGAGCAGCTGATGCCTAAAGAGCACAGAGCAAGAATTTCCTTCCTGGGATATTTTGGGCATTTCACTGGCAGATCTGCCAGAAAGGGGTTTAAGGTTGGGGGATTTTTCCTTCCTTAGCGTTGTTTTTGTTCTCCAGTCTGAAGTGCTGTAAATTCTCCCTGTTTCCCCTTCTTATATTTGGGAAACCAACTCACAAATAGGTGTTCCTTTTTGACAGGTGTGTTATTCACATTGCGGTGTGTGAGGAGTTCTGTTCTTAGCTGATATAAGTCAGCACCGGCTGCTTAGAGGTACGAGAAGGACTTTCTGTACTGATGCTTTGGGGCTTTGTGCCAGTTTCAGGAATGAGCATTGTCTTCCAAGTGTCAGATTCCTAAAGGCAGTTGGGCATTTACGTCTGTTAATAGGGATGGGGCCTGGCTCATTTTCATTAAGTGAAATAAGTGCCCGCACTTAGGAGAAATCCCACCAGACCACTGGTGGTTTAAGTGTTCCACTCTTTACTATGGTACTTCCCTGACTTAAATGCTGAGATTTAACTTTCAGAGTCAATTTAAGGTCTCACTACTTCGTTTTCAAAATCAGAATCCTCTTTCCACGTTCATTAGGTGCTTTTGGAAGTGTCACCTACTGCCTTTTAAACTGGAGGGCTAGAAATGGGAGTAGAACATTAACGTTGTCATCTCTGCACCCCAGAAGTGAAAGCAAACAGCAGCGTTTCTAGCCAGTTCATGGCTTTTGAATGAAACAAACCTCCAAGTTAAATACCGAGTCTGCAGAGAAGACAAAACTCTAATCCCATTTCATAGCTGTGCTCTTCAAAGCGAGTGTTACATGTCAAGTCTTAGAGGATTTTGGTTTGCTTTGGAGAAATATGCTCAACACTTGTTTTCTGGAGCTTTTAATTAAAACTTGTCATGCTGTGATAAATTCCTTTAAAAATGATGCAGGCTCTAATCCACATCAGGGAGGAGGGAAATGGACAGCTTTCCATTGCAGTGGATTATTGGATTAGGAAAGGACACTGATTCCAGTGAGAGCAGCTCTGTGATCTGCAGTGGCAGAAAACACCATCCTGTCTATGCAGTGGGTTTGGAGAACCTGCATCTAACGACCTTCACACTGTGCAGCCCGGTGTGTGCTCCACACGTGAACAGTGAGTTAAACTTGGAGTGATGATGGCTCAGATTTTCTCTCCTTATTTATTTTTATAAGTGTAAATGGAAGTAGTAAGTTTAAGATGTCTGTAATTTAACTGCAAGCTTTTTTATGGTGAAAGCATTCCTGACCCAGTACTGCTGCCTTCTTTTAATTCTTGTAATTAAAAGCCTTCTCTATTTGATATTTACTGTTGCAGACCAAATTATCCAGGGGATCAGGGTGAGCTTTTCCTAGGACTACATGGGAAAGAAAAAGAAAAGGAATAATGTAATTTCATTCAAAGGCACAGGAGGTTCACTCCTGTTAACATGAAAGCACCTTTAGGACTTTGTGGCACTACAAAGAGTACACAAAGGAGGATAGAGGAGCTTAATAAAGGTGAAAAGCATCTGTTGATGCTGTATTGGTCTGACTGTCCTGATTTAAGGCTGTCAACCCCTGGACGTGCCTGACTGCGTACTTCAAACCTGGTTTTCACATGCGTGGTCTGCAGTTGTCTGTTCTCTTCAGCAGAGGTGTAAATCCTCAGCAGCTCTGAAATTCAGCCCCAACATGCATGGTATTAATTGATGTAGTTTTTCATTGTTGGCGTTACAAAGGTTTAATGACATGATAAACCCTGGGACTCATTCATCTTGAATTCAGGAGGATATGGATGTTGTGTAACAGTATTTTGTGAGTGGTTTGAGATGCTGGGTGTGATGGTTCAGTTACAAAACGCACCTCTGCAGACTGCAAAGACCTTTCTCTTCTTCCTCTTTCTTTTAGTTCCCTGCAATTGAATCAGCAAAAAGTACAGCTTTTAAAGTGGCTCTGGAGAAAGAGCAGGAGCTAAGCTTTGGAAAGGGAGTCTGCGTCTCTCTGGGTAAATGACATCTGATTCACTAAGTCTGTAAAGCAAGGTGTATAAATTGTTGTGGTTTTTAAAATGTATTAACTGTTGTAAAGTTTGTAAATACCTTTTTAAAATAAATGTAGTTTTTATGAGTGAACCAGGAAAAAAAGAGCATACGAAGGTCTTTCATGCAAGGAGTACAGAAGCGCGAGTGGAATTACATCCCAGCTGTAAGTTTAGCCTTGGTTTTTATTGTTGCATTACTGTTTTATCCAGAGACCAGTGAGATCAGACACAGCCCTTGGCCAGGCATTGTCTGCATATGAGAAACAAAAGCTGTCATGTCCAAGTTCTCATTGCAGGACACAGAGCAGACCCTCTGCTGCTGAGTCCCCACCACTGGACTGGAACGTGTTCTCTTTTACATGCAAGCTGATAATCAACACAACAATTATCTCTTACTATTTACATGCAACTGCAGAGGATTTATTCACATACAGCAATCTGAGCAAAGTCCATTTGAAGAGAATTGAGGGGTTTGGGAAGAGAATTCTGATAGCTTTGACATGTTATTCTGGGTCTGTTCCCTTTGGCTTCACGGGTTAAGGCTTCTTTCGTCTGGCTTCTTCCATCAGACTTTCCTGTAGACACACACATCATATACTTCTTTTAAAGAGAAGAAATGACTTCGATAATGGCATTTTAAGGCTTGGTCAGATGCTCAAATGCTCATGGTCTACATGGGAGGAGGATTAGAATGACATAAACCTGACCCGACATGTTCTCTCTGCCACCTGCCCCGGGATCTGCTCACCCAGTATAATGTAACTGACACTTATAATGGCAGTATTCATACCAAAGTGCGTGACCAACTTCACATCTGTTGGTGGGCCCAGCACCGCAGCAGTTCTTGGAGTGAAACCCAGCAGCTGTTCAGCAGCACACATTGACAGCAGCTCAGGGCAAGCAGCATGAACTTGAACAAAGCAATGCCTCTGTGAGCTTGAGCAGTTGGCCAAGAGAGCAGAGACAAGAAGGCAAAAGCATCACAGGGTCATTACGGAGTGGCACAGTTGCCCTGTAACCATTGTCTGTGTAGCCTGGTGCTGTTTGAATGGAAACCGTGTTCCTGTGTCACATCCTGCTGGATCTGGTCTCCTGTCTGTTTGTTTCTGTATGTTCTTGCCTCAGAGTCAAAAGCCTGAGGTGTTTGGATGGATGCCCTGGCTGGACATGTTCTGGTTTGCCCTGATGTGCCTTAGCTAGGTGTATTCTTGTTTGTGCTCACTACCAGCTTCTCCAGGAAATGATGAAGATAATTGGAAGTGTTTTTCCACAGGGTGGACTGTTTCCAGACACCTCCCCTTTCATTGCACAAGATTCCTGTAGCAACTCCAGGAATGGGTTACATCGGAAAAGCTGCATCTGGAAAAAGCTTGACTTTGTTTTCAGTGTCATTAAGCAGCTAGAAATAAGAAGGCCGCATAGTTCAGGCTGTGCTACAGGAATAAGACATGCAAACTAAGGGTTTGATGCTGAGGTTTAGGAGCTTTTGTACTGATGTGCAAAATTAGCAGCAGTTTCTGAGCAAGCTGAAGAACTAAGTTGGAAGAAGAATCCTAGAATGGTTTGGGTTGGAAGGGACCTTAAAGCTCATCCAGTTCCAACCCCTGCCACAGGCAGGGGCACGTTCCCCTAGAGCAGCTTGCTCCAAGCCCTGTCCAACCTATATGTTCCATTTTATGTTCAGGACAAATAGGATTAAAGATGACCTAAAAAATATTTAATTTTCAGGTAGTTTAAGTAGTTCCTGCATGCAAACCCAGTGGCAGCCTGGCTGTGCCCTGCCTGCAGCACTGGTACTCAATTCATGAGCCTTCATTCAGGCCAGGTTCCTCAGTGAAAGCTGCAGTGCATACTTGAAACTTCAGCTCTTGGCTTCACAAGTGAAGTACAGATTGAGAGTTTCAACTTCTAGGACAGCTCGGAGACACTTCCCAGGAAGTGGTGACCATCTGGCCCCTTCAAGGTGTTGCTGTATTAATTAAAGAGCACATTTTGGCTTGAGAGTATTCTTTCTGTGGCAGTCGGTTTGGATGCGAAGTCTCTGCTGTCATGGCATTAGAGCATCTAATGGAAAATCCATTTCCCAGCCTAGGGACCTTGGGAGCAGCAGCTTCCATATGGCTTGATCCTTCAGCTGGCAAAGAGTGCCTTTTGAAGTTAAGCATCTGTGAATGCTGCATAGATTTATATTAAGGTGGAATGTGTGTGACTTGGTTTTGATTTAGTGGGTAACGACATTGCTGCACTGGAGCATAAGGATAACGTAGCCCTGTCCTAGGGCTGAGCTACTTGAGGCTGATGCAGACACTGGGGCAGAGCCAGCATTGCCACATGTGAACTGAACTTAATGCCTCTTCCTCCATCAGCCTTTTTTCTCTCCCCTCCATGTACATTCCCAGCCTGCAGCCATCCCCTGATTTTCCCATAGGGATGAAGTTACATCCATTACTCACCACGGCTTCCTTCAGAGCGCTGAGCCTGGAGCGCTGGTACGAGCCTGGGCATTCTGTCCTCTGCACTTCCCCCATTTCTGCCGTGTCACTTGCAATCTGGAGTGGGAAGTGACACAGCCTTGAGAAAGGGGTTTATTTCTGCTAAAGCAATGCTGCCCTGGTACAGATGAAGAGGAAACTGTTCCACTGCACAACTTCCATTCAGCTCCTCCCCAGGTGCCGCAGCCAGCTTCAAATCAGGATGCTGGGACTACCATTACAAGGGACTACATAGGAAGTACTAGAAAGGATGGGAAAGTCACTGGGGGACAGAACCTTCCACATCAGCTTTGTCATCCAGCTGCTTACCCTCTAATTCATTGCCATATGACAGCCACCCCCTGCTGCATCTCTGGATGAATGTTGTCTAAAACAGCCCATCAGAGGCTGAAATGCAGGGAGAGGATGAAATCAGGTTTAACCTGGAATTCAGACTCCATCATCTCTCCTTTGGAGCAGCCTGCCCAGGCCTCTCCATCTTCCTGTAAGGCTGGCAAATGTCATCTTACTCCAACAGTTACTTTCCAGTTACTGCTTTAAAAAGGGGGGTGTGTGTATATACATATGTATAGATGGATAGATAAATATATAGACATAATGATACATAGATATATAGACATGATATATAGACATAATGATACATAGATACATAGACATATATACAGTGAAGCTATGTCACCTCTTCTTTGCTTGCATCTTTTCCAGACAAGGGATCTTAGCTAAAGCCACAGGGTGTTGTACAGTCTAGAACCCACCTCCTGAAATGATCCCATCGTGTTTTCCGCGCTCCGCTTTCCTCCTGGTTGCAGGCCATAAGACCAGTGTTGAGCAGAGCAGATTTCCACAGTCAGGACAAACAGGAGGATGCTGACAGAGATCTTCCTGGACTTCTCCATCCTGTGAGAGAACACAACATCTTTCTGCTCATAACAACATCACAGCTCCGTTTTGATCTTACAGAATTAGGAGATGCTGCCATTCTGGATCTCTGTACCCCAGTGGCATCGTGCTGATGTGGGAGCTGGCTTTTTGAGCCTCTCCAAATGTGGATTAGCTCCTTATAAAGAGATTTAATAGCTGAAAAATCTGGATGAGGATCTACAGTAGGATTTTTGATCCCCCTTTCAGAGCTTCCAGAATGCCTGGACCTCAAAGGTTCCATGGAAGTCCCTGTGGGGGTTGGACAGATGCGTTAAGTTTAGCCGGTTTCTGTTCTATTATCCCTGCTCCTTAAGAAGTGCTGTTTGCAGTCCCTTCTAACCAAGTTTCTTCTAATACTAGCATCTGCAAGCACTGAACAGGTAAGAAAGAACATGGCATGCTGTTCAGTCACGTTACCTGCTTGCTGAGAGAGGTTGCAGAGGAGCTGCACCTCTCCTCCGTTTGAAAGCGCCCTGTGAGTGTTCTTGTCCTCTCAGGTTTTATACGCAACCATCCCAAGGCCAAACCCTTCACAGCAGGTGCCTTTACCTAATTCTATCTCCCAGGCTGCAATTTTGTTCTTAAAAGTGCTGTAATGCAGCAGGAGTAAAGCACATAATTGGAACACCCCTGCGCAGCTATTAAATTCAGCTGGTTTCTCAAAGAGCAATAAAAGTAACAGCCTTTCTTTAAGAAGCTATAAAGCTGCCATTCAAATCCAGCTGGTTGCTGCTGCCCCATGGAAAATGCACCATCTTTTCTTGCAGTGAGTTCTGATTTGTAAGTAAAAGTTTTTGGGTGAAGTTGGAAGCTGTTGAGGAGGTCTGGAAATGGGTGAGGAATTCAGCTTAGTCCCTCCCTGTGTATCAGGCATGAAGGAAACAGTTCTTCCGTGCTTAAACAAGAGCCTGGGCTTGCACATGTGCACAGAGCTCATCCAGCCCCAACCCCTGCCACGGGCAGGGACCCCTTCCACTGGAGCAGCTTGCTCCAAGCCCCTGTGTCCAACCTGGCCTTGAACACTGCCAGGGATGGGGCAGCCACAGCTTCTCTGGGCACCCTGGGCCAGCGCCTCAGCACCCTCACAGGGAAGAGCTTCTGCCTAAGAGCTCATCTCAGTCTCCCCTCTGGCAGGTTAAAGCCATTCCCCTTGGCCTGTCCCTACAGGCCCTTGTCCAAAGCCCCTCTCCAGGTTTCTTGTCACTCCTTTAGGTACTGGAAGACTGTTCCAAGGTCTTGTGTGTGAGTTTAAGGATGCATGCTCTTCAGTCCTGAGAGCGTTTGCAGCTGTATGAAGGACTCGGTAGCTGTTTGCAGGCAGGAGTTAAATTCAGCAATTTTGCCTGCAGAAATGTATTTTTTTGCCTGCAGGAATGTATTTTTTTACCCACCTGGCAGCTATTTTGTTTGCTCTGCATTGTTTGATGCAGAATTGAATCTCTCTTGCTCAGTGTTCTTCAAACATCCTCTCTTCCTGCTCGCGTTACCTCTCTGACATTAATGGATTCAAAGTCATTTAAAAAGTAAATAATTTCAGGAGGATTTAGTGATTAGCAAACAGTAATTCTTCCTGCTCTAATGCTCCTCCTACTCATGGCAAGCGTGGCCAACATTTAGCTTCAGCTGATAAACTGATCAAGCTGTGAAAATAGTTGGTTTCAGTAGGAGAAACATCACCCCTGCATAGGCACATGGCTTTAGAAGGGAGGTTTTCCTGTAACTCCTTTCTTCCCTGATGAGCCTCCCCAAACTCAAGGTTATTTCAATGCAAATGGAAGATTTGTTCATCCTGTGGGATGACATTTAAAGAAAGAAGGGGGCTGCTTAGCCCAATAATTGCACCTCTTATTAACCCACCACTTTAACTCGGTCTAATGATGGTCTGGCCTTAGCATCTTTCTACAGCTGTGCTTCTCCACAGGTTTCTGTTCTAGCTCCAGAGCTGACCTACCAAAGAGTGGCAGGAAGGGCATGTAATTGTGGTGTTAGTGAGCTGCTGCACATCTCAAACTCTAAGCCACAGCTATTAACTTCCATAAAGGAGATGGGAGGTTAAAGAACACGTTACAGCTGGTTTTATTTGCCCACCAGTACTTTTAAGGACCAGTACAATGGAAAGCAGTAAACCCCTCTGATTTTGGCAGCATTCCTAGCGTGAAGATGTGTACTGGAGGTGAGAAGCTGAAGACAAGACTGGATTTTCCCCCGTTTTGTTCTCGAGGTGCTCTACAGCATGCACTTACACAGATGTGCTGCACTTGTACTCTTGTGCCATAGTTTATAGTGAGCACTTTCCACACCAAAATCAAGGACAGGGTATTTTAATGTGCTTTATCACTTCCCTGTTAAGTTGAGCTGCTGGTGCTGTGTGATGATCACCTCCAAGTGTTCTAAATGGTGCCCATACCTCTGGAAATTCTGACTGCAGCTATTTCAGTAACCAAATATGAAGGGTGGGATCAAAGGAAAGCTGAGAAGTGTTGCAGATGAATGACAAGTTAAAACCCCAATTGTCTGTGCAGAAGTAAAGACACCTCAACCAGAGACAGCTCATAAAGTGCGAGCTCAAGTGTGGATGACTCCCAGCTTACAAGAAGACAACCCAGACACTTTTAGATTTCACACTTTTATTAATGCAATTTAAATTAGGCTGGAACCTGCACATTCTGAATAGGCCACCCTGGGCTATTCGTACAGCTTTGTCATAGCAAAAGAGGTACCTTCGATTCAGCTGTGAATGAATGATGCCACATGCTGTGATTATTCCAAACACAGTGCATCAGTGGAAGTTCAAATATAGTTTATACACAGTGATTATGAAAATATAGATTTTTTTCCATACAATATTTTACTTCTAACTACAAAATATGATAAAGAAAAATAATTCATTTATTTCTCTAGCCCTAGGAATCTTCTACTGCAACAGACACATCACTCTCAATGAAAGCGATGAGGTGGGAGAAAGGACTCCAAACTCACGCTGAAATATTCCTCTTGAAGCTACAGTTGTATTTCACCACGGATTTGGTGGTGTCCTGGAGCCAGATCAAGAGGTCTGGGAATCTTGAGGAAGGAAAATCCCAATTCTGACCCACAGAACACTGGGATTTTGAGTCCCAGAAGCTCATGTCATATGCCTGAGTCAACCCAACTTGAAAATAGGGGAGAATCCAGCAATTTCCCCCCAAAAATCATATGCTGGTCCTGAACTAATCTTTCTAGATCAATGACAAAGCAGCATTTTCACAACAACTACTGAGACAAGAAGAATTCTGCTCAGAGGACAGGAAATCTGCACTGCAAGTGAAAGACAACCCACCAAAGTGACAAGCTACTGCCAACAGTGTCACATTCTCTAAGTTTTAGGATACATTGGTTCTTAACTCCCAGTAGTAGCTGTATTTGCTTAGATTCAAGGTTAGTTTTAACTTTGGGGTGTTTTAAGCAAGCATCTGAGGTAAGAGTTCTTGATGCACCTTCTTTTTTTTGGTATAGTTTCTTCATGTGCTTTTTGATTGTGTATAAAATAAACGTGTTAGATGAGACCTAGATTGACACTACAGTGGAAACAGCTTATTAAATGAAGTGCACCACCACTTAAAGAGATGCTGTGAGGCTTTCTGCACTGCAGAACTCACACAGTTCCCTATTTGCTCACAGGTAAAGCAGTTGTGGAAGGGGTACTTTGCCCTACACAAGATGCTTTTAAAGCCACATTAAGCAGGCCCAAAGTGGAACACTTAAGATCTGGCTGGGAAAAGGGTTACACCCATGCTTTCAAGGATTCAGTGTACAGGAGTATTTGCATAGTACATTAAGGGGAAACTGGTGCTATATATTCATATACTGGAGTAACAATGGAGGATGGAGCAAGTGCTGTGGCCACAATGCTTGTCTCTACTTTGGTGACAGTATTGCATTTTCCTATGTACATTTAGCTCCCCACAAAGAATGAAAGCTCTACAGGTACTCCACTTTGCAGTGGTTAGGACATCTGAAAGCGAGAGAATTCTTCTTACCAGCTGTGACTGATAGTGCAATTTCACACTAATGCAGAAAGGATTAAAGAAGACATCCAATTTCTGAGCAGGGGGTGTTTGAGTTGCTGCGTAGGCAGATCCCTGCAGTGGAAGCAGCTTCCCCTGCAGACTTTAGAAGATGATAAAGCTGTTCTATACCTGCATTCAAACTACTACAAGGCAATATGACAGTGATGACAGTTAACTACTGTTTTCACCCCAGAAGAGTACCTGAAAACATCCTGTGGACATTGTCTAAACCACATGTGTCATTTAACACACTGCATGAATGAAGAAACTAACTGTAAATACACTAGCCTACCTGTAAACCTGAACTTTGTTGCTACTATACATGAATAACATTTTCTATTCATATTGCAGCTACAGATTTAATAAATAGAATTGCATATATTGTGCTTTATAAATTAAAATGCATTCCAAAGTGAGGCAATGCTAAACAATGAATCTATTCAACTCTCCCCCCCAAACGAGCCCATTTCCTCACTCTGTTCATAAAGGTAGAAACAGACACTTTCTGTTTCTATCTTTTAAACAAACCCTCCCTCCCCCAAAAGTGATCAAAGAAGAGTTTACTTAGGCACTACTGCAAATGTAAGTTGTCTAATAATCATCACGTCTAACTTAATAAGGGGAGGAGGTGAAGAAAGTCACAGAGGTTTTGACTCCTTCCTCTTCGGCATATTCTCTTCCCTATCTGACGCTCTGAGACATGTGCAAAGGTGTCAGCATCTCTTCAAAGATAGCTCCTTTTACATTAGATCCCCTCAAGTTAGCTTCTTGTAGATCACAACCTGATAGATCACAGTTCTAAAGGGTAGAAGGAAGATCAATGTTAATTGAATATACCCAGAACTTAGTTCAAAACTTTACATTGCCACAGAAACCACATCTACCTCCAAACACTTCAGTGTAAACGTCCCCTCCATCTCTCAGGTTTAGAGTTTCATTTACTTCTTGTGACAAGGACCTTCCCATAGCAGCAGCTGAAGTTATTTTTA